CCTCCTCCTCCTCCTCCACCTTCCTCCTCCTCCTCCTCCTCCTCCTCCTCCTCCTCCTCCTCCTCCTCGGGTCGCCCACGCCCCCCGGGGGAAGCCGTGCAGCCGCACGCCGCAGCGCTCCCCGGCAGAGCAGCCCCAGGCGGCCTCGCCCGCCCCGGTGATGCGGCTCTGCCTCGACCCGTTGCGACGCGCTCGGGTTAAGTCGGGCGTGTTCCTTTGCAGGAGGAACATCCCCGAATAGTAAAAAATAGTCAGGGAACGATTTTTTCACCATTGGGGGACATGCCCAACCTAACGCTCGGGCGGGCTCCAGCAGTGCCGCGGGCGGGCCACGCCAGCCGCGCCCGCGAGGCCGTCGGCCCCTCCTGGGCTTAAAGTCAGGCGCGTCCCCCTACAGAGGGAATGTTCAAACATTGTCAAGAAGTAGTATGGGGACGATTTTCGGATTATCTTTTGCTATTTCTGGAGCATTTTTTGACTACTTTTTGTATTTCTCGTCCAAAATCCGTCTGTATAGGGACGCCCGACCTAATGGCAGCGCCGCGGGCGGGCCACGCCAGCCGCGCCCGCGAGGCCGTCGGCCCCCCTTGGGCCAGCTCTGCAGCGAGCATCTCGAACGCCACTCTCTCGGGAGCTTCGAGATGCAGCGTCGGCGCTGGTAGCTCCGTGGTCCAGAGCTGGCCCAGAGCGGTCTCGTCCCACGTGCTCGGGATTGATCCTGCTTCATGCGGCTTGCTCTCGGGCTTCATCCGGCCTGGTTCGGCGTCATGGCCCCTCAGTCGGGCCGAATAGCCCCCAACGGCCCTGACGAAGACCTCCTAGAAGATGCCTCTCGAGAGCAGCGGGCCCACCCCGAGAAGCTCCGCAGCGGCCCGCGTCCGCCTGTGTCCCATGCAGCGCGCGGCTGATATGAGCGGCTGGACCGCCAAGTGGCAGCTAAGACGGCTGACTACGGTGCTCCCTGACAGTGTGCTCCGCCTCTTCGCCCATGTGCTGCAAGCTTTGCAGCGCGCCTCTCGCGCACTGCACCCTTCCTCCGCATCTTCAGCCGCTGCCTTCGCAGAGGCAAGGTCGGGCTGCCCGCGGGATTGGCGCCTGCCCTCGGAGGTGTCCGCCTGGAGGTGCACGCGGGACGCCCCCCGCTCATCGGGCGCTGGGGCCACTGCGTTGTGGGCCGGGCGCTCGCCGCTGGCTTCGGAACTGAGCCGTGCGCCACCGTCGGTGGCGTTTGCGCCTGCCTGGGCATTCGGGTGGAGCGCGCACGGCTGGCGCTTCTCCCCCTGGCAAGCGTTGTTCTTGGACAGGCGAGAGCCCCACGCCGCGCGCCGCGCCGGGTCCCCGCCGAGCATCGTGGCCGTCCGTGCGACCCCCTGCCATCATCTCGTCGTGCGCCACGTCCGCATGGGCGGGTCGTGCTTACCCTCTCGTGCCCGAACCAGCGGGCACCTTCAGGGGAGCCCGCGACCCCTGGGCGATGTCAAGCTTCTGACGTGTGTCTGGACCAACTGGTAGCTCGGGTACGTCCCGCGCAGGCGGAGCACGGGGCTCGTGAACGTCAGCAACTCTGCGGCCACCGCGGCGCGCGAGCTCGCGGCGGCGCTCGCGGAAACGGTCAAGCTCGCTCAGTTCTCGGTCAGGACTTCCACCTGGGTCAGGTGCGGTGAGGCGGCGCCTCGGGAACAGCACCTTGGCCGTCATGGTCGCGTACCGTCGACACTGCGTTCAACCCCTCGACGGTGGAGGTCCGGTCGGGCGATCGTTCCAGGCGTGGCGCCGGCCAGTCTCTAGCTGACGCCGGTGGCGTAGCTGGAGTTCGCTGGCCCGTTTGTTTCCCTGGCGTCTCGTGCTCCCGCCCTCTCTCTCTCTCTCGATCTTTCTCTGTCTGTCTCTCTGTCTCTCTGTCTCTCTCCCTCTCTCCCTCTCTTTCTTTCCCTTTCTCTCTCTCTCTCGCTCTGTCTCTGTCTCTGACTCTCTCTCTCTCCCTCTCTCTTTCTTTCGTTCCAGATCTGTCTGTCTCCCGTTAGCGAACTCTCTCGTTTTTTCGTCTTTCTGTAATTCTCGTTACCCCCCCTTCCTTGCCGTTGGGGGGACTTCTGCGGTTCACAGCCCCCGTCTCTACATTCGCCCCAGTCTCTGGCTCACGCGCCTCTGACTGCTCTTGAGCCATGGTCCTTCTGCTGCTGTTCTCTCTGCTGTTTCTGCTGCCGCTGCTGCTGCTGCTGCTCCTCGTGCATCCCGCGGAAGCTGCCGCTGCGGGTGCTCCTCTCCCTCTGCTGTCCTCGGGCCCCTCGTCGTCCAGCTTGCCCTGGTGCGCCTTATCGCCCGCCCCCGTACACTCGGCTGCCGACCTAAGGTTGCTGCTGCGGTGCCGAAACAGTGTTCCTGGTGCTGATGCCATCCATCTGAGGCCGTGGGAGGACCCGCGCGACGGGAGAGGAGTTGTCGTACGGCGTGCCTGTGGTCGGGGGGGGGCTTCGCCCCTCGGACAGCATCTCATTCGTACCTCGTCGGATGGCGTTTCGGTCGCAGGGTGAGGACGAGGCAGCATGAAGCGGATGAGGCGGGAAAAGGGGAGGAGGAGGGGGAGGGAGGAGAAGGGAGGAGGAGGCGGAAGAGGAGGAGGAGAAGGAGGAGGAGGAGGAAGACGGAAGAGGGAGATCAGGAGGACGACGGAGGAGGAGATGGAGGGCGAACGCGAGGAGCATGATGGAGGAGCAGGAAGAGGACGATAATCCAATCCATATGAAGCAGGGATGATGATGGATGGTGGATGGATTCATGGAAGAGAAGAAGGGGATGTGGGAGGAGGAAAGGTAAGGATAGGGGATGGGGGCGGGGAGGGGAAGGGAGGGGAGCGGAAGGGAGGGGAGGGACAAGGAGGAATGATGAGGAGGGGAGTATCGGGAGGCAGAGGACGAGGGAGGATAAGGGGAAGGAGCAGGTTTAGTATATTGATGAGTTGGATGAAGGGGATGCGGAATAAGAAGAGGAAGATGAGGAACAGGAGGAGGAAGGAGCAGGAACAGGAGGAGGATGAGTTCAGCTTGTATTCTTCGAAGGTCAACGACCATGTTTGGGGTGAGCGGCGGCCTCGGGCTTCTCAGGACTAATCTGGGTCCCCGAAGACGCACTCGTAGCAGGACTTGTCAAGGATGCCGTTCGAGACGCGTAGCGTATCTGAATGCTCACTGCAGTCCCACTCCGCCATTGTGGCTTATGGCCTGAGCCTGCTGACATACTCATGTCGGTGCCGGTCTGTCGTGGCGTGTGCTGGTGGGTGCAGGTTGTGCTGTCGGTCGCTTTGCTTTCGGGTTCGCGGCGTGTCGCCCAACCCCCTCTCTGGGAGCGTCGGTCTGGGTTCGCGGCGTGTCGCACAACCCCCTCGCAGGGAGCTAATGGCCCCGACCAGTCGGTCAGGGCCATCGGTGTGCTGCGTCGGTCTCGTCTGTGTCTCCAGCGTGCTGCTGCTGAGTCGGTCAGTCGCTTTGGGTTCGCGGCGTGTCGCCCAACCCTCTCGCTGGGAACGTCGGTCAGGGTTCGCGGCGTGACGCCCAACCCACTCACTGGGAGCTGAAGGCTCTGACCAGGCGGTCAGGGCTTTGTCGCGGTGTGCTGCGTCGGTCTCGTCTGCGATGTCCGTGTGCTGCTGAGTCGGTCGTTCTGGGTTCGCGGCGTGTCGCCCAACCCTCTCCGTGGGAGCGTCGGCTGGGTTCGCGGCGTGACGCCCAACCCTCTCGCTGGGAGCTGTTGGCCTCAGTCAGGCCAGCTGTGCTGCGTCGGGCTCGCCGTAGTTGCACTCGTGGCCGAAGGTAGAGACGAACTCAACACATTATCAGAGAACAACGAGCTACAACGAATCACAATGATAATCATCTTATCGATTGCTCTCAAGGCGGGAGCCTTTGGATCTATTCGCAGGTTTTCACGCTGTTCTACACGTTCGGTGCCCCGAGAAGACAAGAACAACGGTTCCTATCGAGACGCGTTTTGCAGCATAGAGCAGAGGGGCAACAATTGAGTAAACTTCCACCTGGCTCTCCTAGCTGACGTGGGTGTTGGCACTACGCGTGCTTTCCTTTTGATCTGACCACGTACTGTGCCCTCGTCTTTTCCGCTGGCGGTTTGCATTCCTCTGCGAGCTTTCTCGCAGATGTACTCTTTGGCCTGGCCACCGCAGTTGTAGCAGAAGTGGCTTTGGCCCTTCCTGCTCCAGGTCATGTGGTGGGAGTGGTGAGCGCACCTGCCCTTCAGCGTGAACTGGCTGGCCTCCGTCTGCCCGCTGGTGTTCAGGATGGCTGTGCACTGCGTCGATAGCCACCATCTCGCCATTGGTGCTGCGTCTTGTGATGGCTGTCTGTTTGCATGCTTCACATCTCCACCCCGTGCTCGTTCTGGTTAGTCTGTGTGTACTGCTGGCTGCCAGGTCGTCGAGTCGCGGTGGCTTGGGTGCGATTTCTCGTGCTGCTGCTCTGAGTTCGTCTCGTTTCTCCCATTTCATAGGAGGTCTTCGGGCTACGGCGTCGACGGTGGCTTGCGTGATGCGCTGTCTCACTAGCTGTCCAACGGCTCTTGCCCATCCGTAGCATCCTTGTTGAGCTGGTGGGAGCGCGTGTTCGTCTGCTGCTGTATCTGCTCGTGCGTTGGCCTCTTGGTTCCCCTTCCAAGCCCACTTCGGTACTCGTCGTGCAGCTGCTGTTTCCCAGGAGGAGGAGGAGGAGCAGGAGGAGGAGGAGGAGGAGGAGGAGGAGGAGGAGGAGGAGGAGGATGAGGAGGAGGAAGAGGAGGAGGAGGAGGCGGAGGAGGAGGAGGAGGAGGAGGAGGAGGAGAGGGGGAGGAGTAGGCGGACTGAAATCAGCAAACACAAGACTAACAATCATTTTAGGATGATGAAGAGGAGGGGGAGGAGGATGGGCAGAATGAGAGGAGGAGGAGGCAGAGAACAACCACGACAAGGAGAGGGTAGGGAGGATGGAGGAAGAGGAATACGATGATTCCCCAATCAGAGCTTGCCTCTTTAGGAGTCCTAGCATATTCATATGGTTAGGTGAGGTGCGTCGCCGATTTCGGTGGCTTGCCTGGGTGCCCGGATGCCCAGGTGCCTGGGTGCCCAGGTGCCCGGGGGTGCCCCGGTGCCCGGGTGCCCGGGTGCCCGGGGGGTGCCCAGAGGTGCCCGGGGGTGCCCAGAGGTACCCAGGGGTGCCCGGGTGCCTGGGTGCTCTATCGCCCTATCGCCCTATAGCCCTATAGCTCAATACCCCTACAGCCATATAGCCCTATAGCCCTATAGCCCAATAGCCCTATAGCCCAATAGCCCAATAGCCCTATAACCCTATAGCCCTACAGCCCTATAGCCCTATAGCCCTATAGCACTAGATCTCATGTAAGATCAACAAAAGACTCTGATAGGGCTTTTCTCCGGTATCATAGATTATGGTGATGATGAGGAAAGGGGACGGATGACGGAGGTTGGAGGACAGAGGAGGGAGGAGAGATGAGGGAGGAAGGGTGCGGGAGGAGGGAGGAGGAGGGAGGAGGAGGAGGACCGGACAAGCCCACGCGTCCCAAGTGCCCTCCTCAAACGCCCCACAATAATTCTTTTCCATTGCGAGACGTGCCTCCCTGAAAGACGTGAGCCCCATAGTCCTGCAGTCCAGGCGAGGGCCCCGTTGTGAAACAGGGCTGCCATCCTTGGTTCTGGCCACGGCTATGGTGACGGCGACGAGGTGTGATCATGAAGTTCAAGGAGGTGTCCAGCAAGAGCCCCGTTCTGAGGATCAGAGCAGCCCTCTTTTTTCGTGCAGCATGTTCTCCAACTTTAATGTCTGGTCATAGCACTTGAGCAGGTCTCGAACGAGAGCCCTGATTCGAGAGAAGGAGCCGCCCTCTATCCGTGTGTAGCTTGTGGTAAGAGAGAGAGAGAGAGAGAGAGAGAGAGAGAGAGGAGAGAGAGAGAGAGAGACGTATCCTTCAGGGATTGGGGCGACTCGTTTTTCTGAGGGCCCTTTTTGGGCATCCTCTTGTGATAGTTTCCTTATTCATTGTTTTGCCCATCGGCGCGGGTCCTCGCATCCCCTACCCCGCCCCATGGAGTAGATCTTGGCTGTTCTTGGCGCCTGTCTCGAGCAGGTGGATCCCCCATAACGCACTGTTGCAAACAGTCGCATTCAGCCGAGGTCCCCCCACCCCCTTCCGCCCAATGTCGAAACGCCGAACAAGAAAACGTTCACCTTGGATCCCTCGGAGGGTGTCCTCGGGGGCTTCTTGGGCTGCCTTCAGGCCATCCTGGGGCCATCTTGGGCCACGTGGATGCCATCCTGGGGGCCTCTTGGGGATCTGTCCAGGCCGTCGACGGCCGTCCGGGGGTACCTCTGCAGCAACCGGCCCCCCCAGCAGAACCTGGCTGGACCGACCGGCCACCCCCCCTTCTAGATTGGCTGGCTCGAGCTCCTGGGGGATGGGGTCTGGGAAGGGGCAAGGAGTTCACACGCCGAGTACCCCCCCAGGAGTCGGCGGATTTTGGCTTCTTGGGGGCCTCCTTGGCGTGCTCCGTGGCCATTTGGGCCCGTCTTGGAGCGGTCTTGGAGCTTCCTGGGGCACTTGGAAGCCATTTGGAGCCATCTTGGAATATGTTGAACATCTTGGATGTCATCTTGGGCTCTCTGAGGCCCTCTTGGAGCCATCTTGGGACATCCCTCCATCCCCTGCGCGACCAGACCCGGAAGAGGGGGTATGGGGGAGGGTAAGTCCCTCCCCTACTAGGGGAAGGAGGGGTGTGGGAAGAAGGAAGAAACAAATTCCTTACACCACCTCCGCCCAGCGGGCTGGGGGGACTTTTAAGACGAATGTGTGCGCGGCTCTGAGACGAGAACCGCATTTTGGAGGCCACCCCCTTTCCATCTGTGTCAGCGCTGGAAGCTTTTGAGACGAATGCGCGCGGCGCGAAAATGAGAGCCACATTTGGGAAACCATCCCCTTCCATCCATGTAGCTGTCGGGAATTGCAAGCTTCGGGGTCGTAAGCGCAGAGGAGAGCTCAGGCGCCCTGCCCAGCCCTCCCTACTGACACGCTGGGTTGTCCGACCGGAGAGGAGCTATCTGTAAGGAAGCGCGAAGGCGGGGGAGCGGGGGAGGAGGAGGTGGCGGAGGATGAGGAGGAGGAGGAGGAGGAGGAGGAGGAGGAGGAGGAGGAGGAGGAGGAGGAAGAGAAGGAGGAGGAGGAGGAGGAGGAGGAGGAGGAGGAGGAGGAGGAGGAGGAGGAGGAGCAGGAGAGGGTTCGGTCTAGTCGCAGGGTTTTTGCTCGGCCGAACCCCGTCGCGCACGCCAGTTCGTGCCGCGTCTCGGTCCTGCGATTGCTGCCGTCCTCGCGCTGTCTGCCACGGCGCGGCTGGGGGAGGGTGCTGCTCATCGCAGGGCTCGTC